CCGTTTCTGGACACCTGATAATAGCAAAAAGTTGATTTTAGCATCAAATCGTAGAGCTCCATGTGTAATACAACGTACGAAAATTTTATTAAAATATACAGGGTGGTTTCAAAGTTATAACCCTAAACGTTAATTTCTAGGTACCCCTTTGACCCCCTATAACTCCGTTAGGCGGCACATTAGGAAAAAAAATATAGGAAGGACTAGTTTTATTTTGACCTCCCCTATACACTCCCGAGAGATTAGGAGGTACTTACCGGACACCCTGTATAAGTTTTGTTCCTTGAGGCATTCCCCATATTCAGTCAAAATTTCACGTCAATCGGTTCAGTTATAAAGAATTCGGAGGTAAAAACTCCTGGACTAACTGGACTACTAAGAAAAAACTAAGAGACCATTTTTTAATTGAAACACATTAGTTTGAAAATTAAAGAAAAAAATCCGTGTGTTTATACAAATTTGTTTCTTAATCTACACATTTTTTGTTTTATTTAGACTTGGAAAACTTGTAAACGTACTTATAAAGTCTAGACGCTAGGTGTTTACTTTAAATTATGTTGGTGTTACGATAGGACTTAAAAAATTATAATATTAAATACGTGTTCTGTATTTTAAACTATTTTACTTTACTTCTCTTTTAATTTATGTTTTCAATAATACTAGAAAGCGACATAAATAAATAATTAGCCAATACAATATCAGATATTAATATTTTCAAAAAAGGTTATGTATTCTGCTATTTAATATAATGTTAAATGCCAGTACAAGAACATTTTAATATCATATATTTTTTAGAACGAAATTTTTGCCAAAATATTGAAACTGTGAGTCTTTATTAAAACATAAAAATATTTTCAGAACAATAAGAAGTATTATTAAAAAATTGTGGAAAATATAGGAACCGATGTCTTTACAATTTGTTCAATGTACTGTTAATATATTTCAAAATAATTATCGCTTTCCGGCATATTCTACAGAAACAACTCCACTTGTCAATGTAGTTTACTGACCATTGTGATATTTATTTGTCATGAAAACTTCCTTTGTAACTGCTTATTTAACGCTTAGTTAGTTTTCAATTATTTTTCTATAAATTCGTAATCTGAAATAATTCAAAATAATTGTTCAACGATGCTGAAGAGGTACAGATACTTCTGATAAAATATACTATATGTATGTAAAATATAACTTTTTATGAAGATGTAGTGGATAGAAAAATTAATATTATTCGAAAACTGTAATCAAAAATCGACATTTTCGTTAAATTTTCAGTGAGTCTTTTTTGTCACCAGTCTTTTACGTTCTAGAACATGAAACCAATGTCAAAATAATTTGTTAATTTTTGAACCTTATTTATGATTTTGTTAATTAAACAATATACCTATATGTATTTTAAGTAACATTACATTTTAATACAAAACAGTAACTACTCGTATTATAAACAGGACGATTACAATTTATTTTGCAGTACGTGTAAATTGAAAGGCCGATATTGCAGTGAGTTAAATTTATGCCAGATCCAGTGCTGTCAGTTATCGTAGCTTTTAGTTCTGGGTGTTCAATGAGGCCGCTGCTGTAATTGTTGCTATTTCTTTCGGCACATTTCTTATTTTGTTGATGCCAAGCACTTGGTTGACACATTTTTCCCTGTCATACTTACCACAAAATCTTCGACTTGTAGTAACTGCCGGAAGTAAAGCACAGTATTTGCGGTATATCTACATTTAGTGGGGACCTGAAATCACAAAACATCTCGCAGTATGAGTTTTGGGATCGGGAATTCTTATAATAATAATTGAATATTTGTCTAAGATTTTTTCATATCTCTCTTTGAACTTCCCCGGAATTATGGCTGAGCATCTTGCCAAGCATTTTCTACTATTTTTGTATTAAACACTGTTATCCGATCTAACTATAAATTTGTTCTAATTTTTACATTAAACAGAATATCATACTGGTAAGTTAAAGACTATTTTCAGCATATTATAGATAATTAATTATGTAATATTGTTACTCAAATCGATAATGATACGACAAAAACTGTTCATCCTTTCGCCCACTTAACAAATTACAAGTCCTACCTTTCCAAAGACGCCAGTGGCTGAGATCGGGTTTATTTGTATAAGCATATGAAATGTTTACATTAAATAACGGCAGAGAGTGCTGTATTTGGTTGCGAATTGTAGACAGATAACATTGAAATCAAAGCATAATATTATTGCTGGTAGAAACCTCGTTGCAAGAAACATTTACACGTTATTCAAGTAACTGAGGATAAACCAAACCTGATGTGCAAACGGAAATAGAATCATGGGCTGGACTGAATAATATTGTGAGTGCAACTGGAGGCTGCCCAAAAAAATGGGTACAATAACTAACTTAAATTTATTCAAAAATGTTTACAGATGCCATGCAAAAAAATGAGGATTTAATTTCTACATTTCCATATTCTGTAAAATTATTATTAGTCGAGACAATGAACCACTGAACCTCGGAATTTTTTGCACTAAGACGGATCGGAATGCGGTTTTTTGCATTCGCTTCCAAAAATTTTTTGTGAAAAATGTATCTACTTTGTATCTTATACAAACCAGAAATTGCATTGCTGCAGCCAAAAATGCATTCAAAAATACATTTTTTGAGACGGCTTTTGGAAGATTTAATAACTTTGTAAATAAGAGTCAGAACTGGCCCAAATCGGGTTCCCGGAGGATTTCGAGGTCGCTGATAACGATTATGATGTTCAAATTGACCCACAGCCGACCTGGAGCTCAGGAACGCCGATGAACGTCATCTCCGTGGGACTCTCCCAAAATTAACGCGGTGAAGGAGAGAAACTCGGCGCCCGTGGGTTTTTTGGGTCGCTGAATTCAAATATGGCATCGACAAACACCTGGTGCACCGGAACCTGGACGTGGACGTCATTTCCGAGAGTTTTCCTAACAAGATTGCCAAAAACAACCCGAAACTCATTGTGGGGGCGTTCTTTGGGGCGCTCAATCCAAAACTCACGTCGAAAACGATCCCCCGAACACCTAGAGCACCGGAACCTGGTCCCGAACGTCGTCTCCGAGGGTTTTCCAGACACGATAGCTGAAGACAAACCGAAAATCGTTATGGTTTTTTTTTGGGACACTGAATCCAAATTTCACCCCGAAAACATACCTCCGGACACCTGGTGCACCGGAACCTCGGCCTGAACGTCGTCTCCGAGGGTTTTCCAGACACGATCGCAAAAAACTAACCGAAAATCGTCTCATAATTTGACACATTCATTGATGTGTAACTCTCGCCTGGGGCCCTCGAAAAAGTTGTGTGAGGAAAACCCTCGGAGATGACGTTCAGGCCGAGATTCCGATGCACCAGGTGTCCGGAGGTACGTTTTCGGGGTGAAATTTGGATTCAGCGCCCCAAAAAAAACCCATTACAATTTTCGGTTTGTCTTTTCTGACCCTGTCTGGAAATACCCTCGGAGACGACGTTCAGGGCCAGGTTCCGGTGCACCAGGTGTTCGGGGGGTCGTTTTCGACGTGAAATTCGGATTCAGCGCCCCAACCCCCCCCCCCTAACGATTTTCGGTTCGTCTTTTTCGATTGTGTGAGGAAAACCCTCGGAGATGAGGTCCGCGTCCAGGTTCCGGTGCACCAGGTGTTCAGGGGATCGTTTTCGACGTGAAATTTGGACTAAGCGCCCCAAAAAACGTCCCCACAATGATTTTCGGGTTGTTTTTAGCAATCTTGTCAGGAAAACACTCGGAGATGACGTCCACGTCCAGGTTCCGGTGCACCAGGTGTTCGCCGATGCCATATTTGAATTCAGCGACCCAAAAAAAAACCGGGCGCCGAGTTTCTCTCCTTCCCCGCGTGAATTTTGGGAGAGTCCCGCGGAGATGATGCTCATCGGCGTTCCTGAGCTCCAGGTCGGCTGTGGGTCAATCTGAACATTATAATCGTGATCAGCGACCTCGAAAACCCCCGGAAACCCGATTTGGGGCAGTTCTGACTCTTATTTATGATGAAAAGTAAAAAACGTTTACATAAAACGCCCCTTCTAAAATCAGCTGAAGCACTATTTCATTTCCTCAACTTTTTTTTAAACATGCTCTATAAACAATAATCTGTTTTTGTCTTTAACCTCTCAGATAAGTATTCAACATTGTATTTGTGTATTGTCATTACTTAAATACAAGTATTCTGAAGTGGAGTTGTCCAACTTTTGTATTCAGAATTCAATAAATCATAAATACATTATATTCTTGACATAAATGTGACTCATATATAGTTTATTTTTGTCTTTAACCTCTGGATTAAGTATTCGTCATTGTATTCGTGTACTGTCAATACTTGAATACAAATATTCGGGAGTCGAATTCTGTAACATTTGTATTCAGAACTCAATAAATCTTAAATAGATAATATTGTCTCGTATATAGTTTGTTTTTGTTTCTAACCTCGATCATTGTATTCGTGTACCGTGAATACTTGAATACAAATATTCTTGAATCGAGTACTCCCTGAATTTTGTATTCAGGATTCGATAGATACTTTTTCCAACAGAATATTCGGTATTCGCGGATCGAATACATTTCCTGTATTCATCGCCAGTTCCGCTTGCACGATCTGAAGGGAATTTGGGAAATCCTATCCGCAGATCCCCAAGTCCGCCTAATTACGTACAAAGTACGAAACGAAAAATACAATTTCCATGATGATGTATCGGCGTGGAAGTGAATGGGAGCGGCAGCGGCGGTGGCGTGGAGCATGGTGGGGACGGCGTGGCGTGGGCGGATTCGGTCGGGACTCCGACGGTCGCCGGCGTCGGTCTCAGTTGCGAGCCGTCTCCAGCGTCGAGAACACACCACCACCTCGCCACAGCTAAGCGCGCCATCGAAGAGAGCAGCCGAGTGGGTCCGAACAGCAACAAGTTGACGTTGGCGCGGTGTGCAGACCCATGTCTCGACGCGATGATAACCTGATCCTGTGAGTGTGCCCCCCTCCGGCATGTGGGCCGTTGTGGCGGCCTGTGTGTGGGTGTGCGTGGTGGCCACACCGCAGCCGCTGCACCTCGAAAGGGACTCTTACAGACGGCCCCAGGCGGCCGCCTGGCAGAAGAGGCTCGCCGCCTCCTCAGTCTCCTCCTCCGACCAGCAGAACCCCCCCGAAGAGTTTTCCGACTTCTCGCAGCACCTCCCCCAGCTCTCCGCTGTCAATTCCCAGCTCATGCTGCGCTCCCCCAGAGGACAGCGTCAGTACGACGTCCCCCAAATAGGTAGGAACCGTTGCACCAAAAAAGTACCCATTTTCTCGCATCCCCGTGCTGTTAATTGCTCCAGAGACGGATCCCGTTACCGTAACGTTATACTGTACACTCCCAATATTCCCGTGGGCGATTTGGAGCTATTAACAGCACTTTTTTTGTATGAAATTTAATCTCAGCAACGCAATTTTTATCTGAGTCTTGATCACAGCAATAAGGTCCGCCAAATATTTAGGTTTCATAGAAATTTACGTCGAACAGGCCACTGATGACGTAATTTTTTGGCGTACATGTAAATCACAAATATAATTCTCCTTGGCGAGTAAAAAAAATACAAATAGGAATTAGTTATATCAATGTTTTAAATAAAACAGTAATCTAGGAAAATTCCCCTACAATATTTACAACAAACGTTTTAATCGATAAATACAACATAATTAAAATGTATATCTTTGAAAATTTCATATATCCGCCAAATCGACAGTGAAAATCATATATTTATGGCAATTTTTAACAATCAGACCAGAATTCTATGATTTGGTGCCACTGCAACTGCGCAAAGTGGCATCATCAGTAAGTATATTTTGCTCTTAAAACTGGTATATTTTCCTCTCTAGAAGCTCACATATTTTTCTTCTTGAAGGCGAAAATAAAAATGTCAAACTTGCACTGGCCTAATTGAAATATGAATTGATATTTCAAGTTTTCCTTATTTATTTGGTTCTTTGCCACCTGTGAAAAAAATAAAAAGTTAAGTAAATTGCGGAGATTTACGCACTTTGTTGCCAAAGAAGCTCCCAAATAATTTTCAAAATTCAAAAAATTGCACTTATAGCATGCCTTGCGAATACATTAAACATTTTGTTGGAGAGACTTCTCGACCTGTGAAAATTAGAAGAGAAAAAAATACAATAATTGAAAAAAAAATTGAGAAATCTAAACTTTGCGATCAAATTCGGACAAAATTTTTGAGAAACAAAAAAATATTGTTAAAAGAAAATGTTTCTAATTATTCTACGACCTTGGATTCATATTGGCTACCAATTCTAAAAGATGAAATTAATAACAAACGTCATATGATGCGCGATATAAGTGATGAGTGTGAGATTTTTGGTCAGACAAAACTATTTTCACAAAAATAATCTTTTTGATGCAGGGGTTTATTGCATTATTTTTTTATTCCTTCACAGGTGGCAAAATATCTAATAAATTAGGGAAAAAATGTTAAATCTCATAAATCTGACGATCCGGGGGTGCTAACAATAAAATTCATATATTTTATTGTTATTTCAATCAAATGTTTCAATGAAACGTTAGTAAAAAACTATCATAATCTCTAAATATTCTAAGAAAAATGGACACTGTCAATTTAGATATACAAATTGATAATGTTTTATTTATATAAATAGTAACATTAAAAATCAAAATAAAAAAATTACAGAAGAGACAATTATCTTTACAAGTATGTACAAACGAGAGAGAAATCTGGAATAATTTAATACAAGGCTGCTTTATCAATTTCTGGGATAAAAATTTCAAATTCATTTGAGTGTTAATTATTATTAGTCTAATGAAGATAAGGATATGAGTTAAACACGTTTGAAGCTTGACCTAAAATAAATAAAGAGTAAATGTATTTGCACAACATAATTGTCAATTTGTTCAAGTACTTGTTGCAGTTTTTACCAAGAAAGTTAAAGGAATTAAAAGCAATGAGCAAATCGTCAAAGTGTATGTATCTATAAAGACATAACAGATTTAATATTCAGAATTTTAAAGTAAAATTCAAGACACAAGAAATAAGCATTGGTAAAACTTCTTGATTTCAAATTATGGCGGAGTCGCTGGTTTATAGCGTTTTTAATAATTTTGTATATAAAAAAAAATATAACAGAGTTTAATGAAAATTGAAATGCAGAGAAAATTATGCTCTTCTAAATAAATAAGTAAATGTCAAGAAATAATCTACTGGTTTCTACTTTAATTTCATTCACATTAATATTAACACTATTAGAATAAAAAGATTATCTTCATACAAAACTCTAAACTAGCCTAAGTTTTGACTACAAAGCAGGGACTAGATGATATCTAAAGCCAAAAATGTAGGGCTCAGAATTACAAGTGGAAAATTACAAACTACGTATTACATTTTCGGGAAATCAACGAAATTGACTAATAGCTTTCTATTTCATTATTTACAATAATTATACATAAAATTATCTCGCTTAACATTACTGCTCTGTCGCCTCATGAATATATTAACAATTACTGTTCCCCATAACGATTATATTAATAAAATATCAGCCTCATTTTATTAAATGAAGTTGACGGAAACGAGTTATCAATTACAGTGTCCTCAATAATGTCGAATTGGAACCGGTTTGAACTACCGTTCCTGATTTTTTTCGGGTAAACAAGTCTTATCTCTGGTTTCCCATCGATTTTCATTAATTAAAATGTCAGTACACAGTCTTTTTGTTTAGATTACCTTATTAATTTATTATCGGAACGGATTACTTTGATAGTAGGGGACGTCCCTCAGTTTTTTTCTGAATATTTACAATCCCTTTGCCGCTTTGAACTACTATCAGATAAGCGCCCAAGGCAAAGTGTTTTTTATTTTCGCGGATAAGGAAAATAAAAACACCAAAAAAGATCAAGAAAGGCGTCAAAAGGAGACTTTATTTTAAATTTTTTCACACTTCCCATTAGTAATAAACAGTACCTACCAATAAAATCCTAAAGAGCTTGAACTAGCAGTTTAATTGTAAATTATTTTGCAATTCCAAAACTTTTAGCAACTAATAACCAGATTTTAATGCTTATAATTATAAGCAATTGTATAAAATACAAACATATATGTTCAAATACAATGTTGTTTCCATTTTCTGCAAAATAAGTCAATTTTAATTGTTTTTAAACCAAAATATGGAATATGGAAGTAAACATTAATTTTCACGCTATTTTTTTCTTTTTATTTCAAACTTGACACTCTATTAAGAATTACCTACTGCTAAATACTCAAAATATATGCTGTTGGTGTATGTTGCTACCTTTTATAAGATAATTGCCAAAATTTTGGACACATTTTGTTAAAAGGGCCAAAATATCAAATTTGTTTTCAAATAAAAAATAGTTATTTTCAAGCAATGTACGTACGAATGAAATAAAGTATAATTTAGTTTGATTCCTGCATCTTGTTGCTACTTAAAATAAACCATACATTTTTTACTAAATTTTGAGCACCCCGTACATCAAAATGAAAAGTTTCCGGGCACATGTTTATAGGGATTTTTAATTAGTATGTAAAATAGGATCCGCCGTTAAAGTTTAGCCAAGTCTTTTGGTAACACCCCATGTGTAAAATTAACATCTAATAGTAAATTGTCTAGCAAGTGTAGAAAATTTCTCAAGAGTTTGAAAAGTTCAAAAGGGTAAGTTTGCATTTCTGCACAAGTTGCATACATACATATTCAATTTATATTTGAAATCGTTTTAATCAAGATGGTTAGGCGCGGTGACTTTCATAACAATAGCAACCTAATAAACAATAAAAATTAGTTGTTTGAAAAAGTAGTCAGAATTTTATATTGTAATTCATATTCTAAGTGTTTAATTCAAAATGAGCTCGGAAAGTGAAGACGAGCATTTATCAGGGGAAGTATTAGGAAGCGATACAAAGTGCTGTTTCACAATTAATTCCTAAAAAAATCGTCGAAACAGTACAAGATTCTCTACAACGAAATCAAAGAGTATTTTTATTAATTGGTGTTTGTGGAGCTTTGAGAAGAGTTGAACTACTGAAGATAACGATCTATGACATAGAAGACAAATATTCAATATTATTATTATAAGAATTCCCGATTGCAAAACTCATATTCGGAGATGTTTTGTGATTTCTAGTCCAGACCAAATGACGATTTACGGCAAATACTATGCTTTATGTCCGGCAGTTACTACAAGTCGAAGATTTTTTGTGAAGTATGTCAAGGAAAAATGTGACATATATAGAAGATTCTATACAAAATAAAATTTCAATCGCAAATAAACTGTTACCATCTTCGGCAGAACCTACGTTACTTGCCAATAATACAACGTGCGCAGTAAACAATTTCTGCAGTAGCCTCATTGAACACCCAGAACTAAAAGCTAATATAACTAACAGCACTGGATCTGGCAAAATTTAACTCTTTGCAATATCGGCACTTTAAGTTTATATGTAGTGCAAAATAAATTGTAATCGTCCTGTTTATAATAGTTACCGTTTTGCATTGAAATGTTATGTTACTTAAAATGTATATTGTTTAATTAATAAAATCACAAATAAGTTTCAAAGAAATGACAAATTATTTTGATATTTGTTTTATGTTCTAGAACGAAAAAGACTTTGTAGTTCTAGAACATAAAAGTATTTTGCAGCTAGGTGGGAAAAAAAACTTTGTCAATTGAAAATGTAACAAAAATGTCGAGTTTTGATGACAGTTTTCGAAAAAAGTAATTTTTTTGGTGCTAGCAGTTTTTGATAATTATAACAGATTAATAATTTCAAGAAATCATATATTACAGATTTTATTTGTCATTATTATATGACAGATAATTACAACGAAAGAAACTAAATCTAATATCAGCTGTTAGCTTTTTCTATTTAAAATTATAATTTACTGTCAGGTTTGAACAATTTTGAACTGTCATTTCTGAAGTGCAATTTTTGATAAATGTACAATTGTCATGTTATTATTAATTAGAAAAGTTTAAGGCAAATTTGAAATATAATATATCCGTATTTGGAAGAGATGAATATTTGTGACTGAACTGAATGCATTATTTTGCTTGCAATAACCATTTTGGTGTGCATTGAATCATCAGTGCAACCTTTCGCGATGTTATTTCAACGCCATCAACCATGACTTTAATGATAAAAGATCAACCCTTGTGTTTGCTGATAGGTACGGATGCAGAGACTCGTTGCAATGTGTCCTGTGTACAATTCTGGGTTTAGTATTTTTAAAAAGGATTCAATTTCTTGAGGCGTTGTGCCAAATTTGCCTGCTCCTACTACTTGGCGTTTACTTTTGTAAGCTAATATATTTTTTACAAGTACCTACTGTAAAAGCTACCGGCTTCTTTAAAGTACAGTGACATCAACTTTTCAGAAAAACATTACTATCACTCT